TGAATGATTTATGAATGAATGAATGAGTGAATGGCTCCTGGTCTATGCCGATGCTGTGGTAAAGTATCATGTCTCTTTCTCCCTCTCCCCCTCCCCCTCTTGCGTTCATGCTCTTTATTTCACTCACCTGTTCTACAATTCTTGAAAGGAAGGGGTCGTCAACAGACTTATCAATCTGTTGATTGCAAAATGTTTTCAAGTCTACCGCTTTTTAGAGCCATTTGTTTTGATCTCTTCCTTTCATTGTCAACTGATCACTATTCTTCCCGCATTTTCATGACATACAAAAGAATGATTGAAACCAAAACGCCTTTCAGCTTCTGAATTGTACTGTGAATTTACAATAGGCAACACAACTCCGGAGGCATAAAAGAAAAATAATAAGGTAACTGTGGCAACAGTAGCCGATCAAATTTGACTGATGTTTCAATTTATTTTTCAGTTTCCAGTTTGGTTTAACTTCACCGTGTTGTCTATTCCCGTCACCTATAGAAGTAACCCCTTACTGTAAAAATAATAAGGTAACTGTGGCAACAGAAGCCGATCAAATTTGACTGATGTTTCAATTTATTTTTCAGTTTCCAGTTTGGTTTAACTTCACCGTGTTGTCTAATCCCGTCACCTATAGAAGTAACCCCTTACTGTAAAAATAATAAGGTAACTGTGGCAACAGAAGCCGATCAAATTTGACTAATTTTTCAAAACATTTTTCAGTTTTCAGTTTGGTTTAACTTCACCGTGTTATCTTATCCCGTCACCTATAGAAGTAACCCCTTACTGTAAAAGGTGAAGTCTGGCAAAGTACAGGGAATGCCACGACCGAGCATGGTCCATCTAATTCTCGAGGCTAGGGTAAAAATCTTATTGACTCAACACATACAGAACGATTCAATTTCCAAAGTCATAATAATGTACAATAAATATAGCGTAAGCGTAATAACAAATAAATTTTAGCGTAATCGTAAAATTTATTTGTTATCAAACCCAAAAGAAATTTGGCATTCGAGCCATGTCAAGAGCTGAATGCTGATCTAGGACAAGAACGTAGCTTGCAACAGAAGAGAGAATCTCTTCGATTGTTTTGTCTGCGAGTCATACTGGGCTTGATCACGTGATCTTTTTGGGTTGATGAATTGTACAAAGGTCGGGAAATGTTCCGCTCTTCATTTTTGGCCATAAGCAAATTTGGTTATCTAGGCCACGTCAATAATTTCTTCTAATGAAGAACTAATTCAAGAATTCGAAGCCGAAATCTATTTATTCAAACTATGCTGAATCTTCTCTGCGTAAGTCACATACATAAGTTGCCTCTAGCCACTTTAGATCAAACGCAGTGAAGTTCAGAAATTTCAAATCATGGTTTACTCTGTCATCTATATTTCATTAAATTGTACAATCCCACAACACTTTAGAAATGATTTACACCGCCTGAACAAAAGTAATTTTCAATTGATATGGGTGCAATATTTTTATTGTTCACTTAGTTGTTGAAAAAGGATGGCGCCATAATCAGAACATAACTTAAGAGAAGTGTGAGGCAGATGGCAATGACGGTTACAGTCAAACTGAACCGCATCCTAAATCCTCAAACCTTACAAACAAACATTACGATTTACGAAAAAAAAATAAAATGCACGGACTTGTTTTTATTGTTCACGAACACGCACTTTTGAAAAACCTGGCGCCAAAAATAAATTAATTGTCGGTTTTTTTTCTCTCTTCCTCTGGATGCTTACCACGGTGAGGTTGACTCCTTTCAGACCGTTTTGATCTCTTGCCCAACTTGTTTTAAAATATTCTTCCTCTTCATTGCCCATATTTCAAAACAACTTGCTTCGTTATGCATGATATCGTCAACCACTGATATAACACCTCCAAACGGTTCTGAATTTTTTAGTTATTCCTCATAAAAACACCATTATAGCACAAGGTTTGTTGACCATATTTCGGGGAATTTCTCTCCGAAGTATTCAAGAACGGACCATATGAGGACCTCATTTTCAAGAATTGCAGTAAAAATGTGGAATTGTACTCCCATCAGTCTTCGTGCTTAACCAAAATATGAATTTAAAGAGATAATCTATTATAAGCTACTGATAATTTTAATTCAAGAGGATACTTAAGTTGACGTACATACTATAAACTCGAACTTGGTAATAAATTTGAACCTGAACTGAAACTTGGGATTATACAGAGAGCCACTTTGCAAATTATGACTATTTCAGTATTTGATAAAGCCAGTTGACCTAAACTGCTTTAGTAGACTTGAGCAAAAGATTGATATATTCTCGACAAGACAGTAGGCTCGATTACCAGCCGCTGTCCGGGAACCAGAGCCCGCGCTCCTTCTCGAAGGGTATCTTCTCGGGAAGGAACAAAAAAGACCAGACTCGAGAGAGCGGCGCAAATCGAGCCTAACAAAACAGTGGAGGGAACAAAATGTCTCAACCGTGAAAGTATGCCTGACGATTTGCTAATTTTAGTTGAAACGAAAGTAATATTTTCTATCCAGGATAATGTGAGTCGATGAGCATACGAAGGTATTTCTTACATTTTTTTGCTTTCCAGAGAAACTACTTCCATGGTGCTAATCCATCTCTCGTAATAGCTTTGTTTCAAGAGATTATAAGGGGACAGGAGGCTTCTGGTCCAGGCTTTTTGCCTGTTTTTCAAATCCGCTGAATCATATTTTAAAAGTGTGGGTGCAAATTCAATCGAATGAAATTGAAGTGGTAAATGAGATAGTCAGTAAGCTAAGCAATATAGCGGGTAAGTTTCTATAGATATTGTGATGCTGCGTCGATGTGGGGTATTACAAGACCTTACAAGATTATGTGGTTTTCGTTGGCCCTTCGTTGGAGCGAATCCACTGATAAAGGATTTTCGCTTAAAACATCGTTTAGATTCCCTTCATTATGGCCAATTTTAATTCTTTATCGAATTAAAGAAAGCAGTCCAGAGACGCAAAGATTCAGTTGGGAAATCACTCTTAGAACTCAGGAAAGCAAGGCAAAAACGCATTTTGGGAGCGCAAATAGAAAAAGACTTAAGAGATGAAATTCCTCTGCGACGGAACTTACCTAGGATCTCTGTAACAACCTCTATGGAAGAAAAAGAATAAGTGCCCTATGTCTTCAACGCCCTGAAAATAATTATATTCTAAGGCCCTATCTTCCCCTATTGATTTCTTACACAGCAATTCAATTGTAATTCAAAGAATCAGGCGCGCGAGACGTTTTACCTTTTAATCACCATTACGATCAAGATTCACAGCTAAGATTTTAAGATCACCACGCAAGATCGACCACTATATCAGAAAAGAATTTGATTTTTTTTCATCAGATTGAAGTATGTACAGCGTTCAATAAGGACGAACAGTAATTCCTTACAGTGTGTAAATTACAATTGAAGATAAATGTCATTATTCTTCTCAAGCTCGTCAGCTAATTGCATAGTACAGAGTTTACTACAGTTTAATATTCTACTCTAAATGAGCTCTGAGGAAATCGTTGTAAGAAATCCTTCCTGTCATGTTCTTATCGTAAAAGGAAAACAAGTGGAAAAACTCCTCTTCGTTAAGGTCAACCTTGAATTTTCTCATCATCTGCCTGAAATCCACAAGTGAGCAAGTCCCGTTTCCACTTTTGTCAAGACCCTACGGAGGATAGAAGAATTACTATTACCAACAGCACCACAAAAAATGACGATTTTCATCAGAGTTACCCGTCAGAATCAAGTAAGAAGAAAACTACAACTGTTTTTACCACAATTGGCAATCGATTTGTTAATTTAGCGATAGTTCTCTCTCTAAACACTACAAGGACGAATGCAAACCTCTCATTTCACTTTGACATTCATCAAAAGACAACTCCTCTTTTGCTACAAATTCCCAGAGCTGTCTCATTACCAGGGCCTTTCTGGTCACATCTTGGTTTTTAGAGCATAGAAACATCCTAGCGACTGGGAACGAGTTAAAGCCTACCGGCGCAATCAAGTTGGCTTGTTTTATTCCATCTCACTACATTATATCGCCAAAATATCGATGTAATTTGCCTTACCCTGAACGCCCTCCTCATTTCCTTCCAATCACGCCTTATTGGTGCTCGAATAGTGGCCATTAGTTCGATTAACCGGTCACTCGTGTATCCCGGACTTGTCTGAAACAAAGGGACACGAAACTTAAGCCTTGATTTAATAAATTTCTGCCAACATCATGATTATGGCTCAACCGTTTACCTGATAATCAAAATCCTATGCACGAGACAATGTAACTACTCTCCACTACTCTCTACTCTACTCTCACTATGGAGCGAAATCGCACAAGACGACGCAAACTTGACATTGACAACTAGTATGGAGTCGTCGAGACTTCTGTTTTGATTAGACTTTTTGTTATTCTACATTACTTCTCAAAACCCACTGTTTTTAGAATTGCACGGAAACAAGGGGAAGACGCCTAGTAAGAAAATTGTACTGTAATGGTACTTTGCTTTTGTTGACTCTATTCTATTAATTTGAAAGTTCTCTTCAACGCAACGGTAAGCTACTTACCGGCATTCTGCTTGGCTGCAATTTGGGTCTGATGAGAGAGTTTCCCTCTTGAGATTTCAAATTTAATACAAAATGCCGCATGAAATCTTTGTACACGATTCTGAAAGTAAATGAGAAACGTTTCTTAATCACTATGTGAAGAACAAAACAATACAACTTAACCTTGCTGAAATGCGTATACTTATTAAAGAGCGTGAAATATTTCTTACCCTCCTTTTTCTTCACTGCTGTGTTTCCTCCACAAAGACAATAACTCGCTTGGGCTGAGATGAATGTCGTGTTTCAAAAGAACATCTGCAACAAAAAATTACCAGTTAAAAAAAAATGACTAGCATGCGCTTGGTTTGGAATGATACCCTGTATGAATCGGGAATAGAACGAAAAGTGAGGAAACGAACAGTGCAGCCACTTAGTCGTCTAGAACGATTTGAATCTTTGATTTTTTTAACCCATCTACTCCCGAGATCTCAATAATAATTCTCTTTACTATCTGCCATATAAATCCTACGATGTTAGTTCGAAGAAATTGTTATTGGATCAACTAATAACCCCTTGAATGATCTAATTTGTCTTCAGTCTAATCATTTGTCCGCTTGATATTGTAACGATATTGTAAGGAGAAATTCCGTCTTGGTCACCATTCGATGTTAAAGGTTAGGTTTGAATAGTTTCTTGTGCCGAACAGACTGAAGGTGAAGCTCGATTTTACACAATAAACTGTGGTGACAAGGAAAGTAAATGAGTTCTGCGTGCAGTGTAGTCGACTGGGGTGGCACCAACCTTTAAGTTGTTCAAAGTCCACCGTTCCTTTGTTACCACTGTCCATGTTCCTGAAGGATTTCTGAATTTGCTGCCACCGACGACAAATCTTATGAGAAAAAAAAAAAAAATTCTTAGTAACATGTCAAGATTGCAAAAAGCTCCTTTACGTATTCTATAAAACGAAAAGAACAATACTCACCGCGTCTTTGATATTCCTCTCTACTTCACTTGCTGAAAGGGGCGGGGTCAAAGATTCAGGTGAGGGGATCCTGACAGGCGTATGCACAGGAGACACTGCGAGCTCAGATGATGCCTGAAACGGATACGATCTCGTTAGTCACAAAGCATGAATGAGTTCAAGTTCCTTTTTCGCTTTTCATGACCCAAGATGAAGTTGAAGTCCACAACGACGAAAAAAAGGAAAAAAACCAAAAAACAAACTGAAACAAAAAGGACAACTACAACAAAAAGAGCAACTACAACAAAAAGAGCTTAGTCGACGAAGGATTTATCCCATGGCCAAGAGTTACTCTCAAGCGACCAACGCCGCAGAAAGGGTGAGGGGTAGTTGGAAAAAAATTCTTGGGACTTGGAAAATGTTTTTTTCTTACCCTTCTGTCACGTGAGTGAGGCGGTGTTGCAGACGCCGTTCGAGTGATATCAGGTCTTGTGGAGAATATCTTCAAGAACTCCTTGTAATCCACAGTACCATCGGAGTTCTTCGGAAGTTTCAACCAAATGTGGTTAAACTGATCACTTGTCATACGGAAAGCATGTTGGTTGAGTATCTCATGGAGAGCACTGGCGCTAATTTTCCCGCTGCGGTGAACGTCTTCATCTGTAAACGCCTTATCAATTAAGAAAAAAAAAAAAAAGATTTATGAAATTGTTACGTGATCATCCATTGTCTAACGTTAAAAAGCTCTTTGTAATCGTACAGACTTAAAAACCGTGGTTCTACAGCACAAAGAAGTAGCAAAGGTTAAACAAACACATCTGACACTTTGAAAACAAAACTACAAGAAAACGTTTATTGAAAAATGACGATAAGTCGTTTTAAAAAAAATATGACAACACATTCCAGTGGAAATGACCGTACAAGACCAACAGCCAAGAATAAGCAACAGCACTTGTTGGTTTCAAAAATAAAAAGGCGCCAGGTAATGCATGGCTTCGCAAGGTTACTTTAATAATTTGGTAAGTCACTTGACATAATTTTTCTTCAGAGAATGACAAGTGTCACGGGAGATTAACAAAAAAAAAATACTTTACCTTGGCAAGACTGTAGAATCGCGCCACTACAACTTCTCGAACTCTCTTCTCTACTTCGGCTTCAGTCATAGCACGCGACCGCTTGGTGAAGTTGTCGGCGGTTCTTTGGCGTTTTTCAGGAGAGGGATACAAATTCTCTAGCCACTTACGACTTACCTAAAAGTAAACAAACACCTTGCAATTAATCTTTCTGATAGCACGTTTAATCCGCAGATCTGCAAAACTAAGAAGCTTGAAACCGCATTTCTAAAACCTTTAAATAAGTCGCCGGGAGCTAAAATGTTTAGTGAAGTATTTTTAATGCTGCACACGAAACGGGAACAAGACTCTACAAACTTCATGCGGTGAACCCACAAACACACAACGGCAAGGGAATTATGCCAGATCGAATCGGCGAGGAACAAGCGGGAATCACCTGTACCTCTTTCAGCATAAATTGTAAACTGGATGTGAATAAAAAATCGACAAGGCATTTTCTAGATGATGCCGGTAAAAGTGCAACGTACGACCGTTTGTTATTTCGACTTCCTCGTTATTACGTACAAGTTTTTCTGCTACGAATGAACTGAGTCCAGTTAAATCATTAGCTTTTCTCACTAGAACCTCGTTTGTCCAAGCGCCCTATACCACCGGGTGTCAAGAATAAAATTGGGTTTGATTCACCGCTTTTCACTGTACGTTCCACTAATCATTTCCTAGTTCTACAAATGACAACAGTCACAGTTATTCTCACCTCGGCGTCTGATTTCTGAAAGCTCTTCAAAAAGTCATCGTAGGATATCAACCCTCCTTCTCCAAAGTTTTCCTTTTTCATGAGCGCCTGTGAAGTTGACAACGGATTTATGACATAATTCTTCTTAAGTAAATAGTTTTGCACTAAAGTAAACATGACAACTACTTGAATACAACGGGAATAAAGAAATCTCTTGAGCTGTTGAGCAGTTTTCAGCTGTAGATTCAACAAAGTAAAGTGATGTTCATTAAACTACCACGGACATGGAAATTCGAATTTAACTGCTTGCAGGAAACAACAATTCACCAGAGTTAAGCTCCATCAGTGACATCAGTATCTTAAAAATTCCATTCAAATTTGAACCAAATGTAAATTGCCTACTAAATTTTAATTAAAAAAACAGTAATTATGGGGATTGCACACGCGAAAATTTCTTGTTTTAGGAAAGTTAAACTCAAACGTTAAGTAACAGGCGCGCGACTAAAGACTGCGTAAATATTTTTCTTTTACCTGAAATTGTTTGTCAGACATCACAAAACAGAACGCATTGATTATCTGATGCAAGTCTTCCTTTGTAACCAGTCCCACTCCCTCTCGATCAAACGCGGCAAAGGCCTAGAAATCAAAGCATACATGAATACAAAAACCCACCAACATTTGTAACGTGACACAAATAAACTTTACAAGGGAGGGGGAAGGGTTGCCACTTACTCTTTGGATAGTTTCTGGATTTTCGCCGATTTTGTTCCTGAGTATGTTGATGGCGGCTTCAGGAGAAAGTGAGTCGTGTCTCTCAAATATCACTGGCGTGTAAACTTTGCCTGGTGTATCCAAGGTAACGCGCCCATACCCAGAATGCCTCTGGTCCTGGAACGCACCCAGGAACTTCTCGTAAGAAAGCTTGTTCTTTCCGGATAGACCACACCTGACAAAAGACAAGAAAAATCAGCAAGAGACAAGAAAAATCATGAAGATAAGCTGGAAATTAAGGTAAGAGGCTCTGGAGCTTAGGATGTTTGTAAGCCAAAGAGAAACGGCTAGGTGGACACTTTTAATCCAAGATCTCAAAGCTAATTAGTCGAACTGATGAGTGTAATTTTCTCTTATGGCTGTAATGGAAATTTGATATTATTTCCCAGCACCATTCACCGGTTGTTGATTTCATCAATTTCAAAATCGTTGGACTTGACAATGTCACCATGTTGAGAAAATCAACACCGCTCTTGAGTTTCAAAGTTTAGGACATAGAAAGTCAATTTTGTGGTTGTTCGTGTGGTGGACTTTGGTATCGGTCAACAACAGAAATTCTCTGATCAGAATAGCAAGTTCCACATTCCTGTTCTGACGACACAATCGTCAAATGAAGCCATCAAGAAAAAACACTTTCACAAAGCGTGACAACTAAAAGGAAAAAAGCTGTACATTGCTTGTCAACAAAAATCGGAACAGGGGAACTCTAAAAGCTACAAAAACAACAACAAATCAACAAAAAACAAATACACACACTTGTCACCACGAAACTCTAGTGTTAATTCTTTAACTCTCAAAAGAGATTAATACTCTGAGGCGGATAACCAAAACAGAGGCCTTGATAATTATCGCTATCATGCGAAAACCGAATCCAACAATTGTTTTATTATGCACGTTCCTGAGCTACACTTGTAAAGACAAGAGCGCATAAAACTGCTGTCTGTAGGTATGACGTCACTTCTACATATATAAAATCTGTTGTCTGTAAGTATGACGTAAGAGAATATATAATAATCAGACTTGATGGGTAGAAGTTGTTAACTTGATTTAACACTAAATCCTTGTAACTAATTTCAAGGGCGTAGCCAGGGGGGTCCTGGGGTGCCCGTGACCACCCCCCCCCTTGGTAGGCCTTCTTTTGAGCAAACAACCTAGAATATTCAGGTGGTGAAAACGCCATGACAATATCTTGGCCTGCCCACTATACTCTCATTGCTCATTCCAAAACTGTAACATGAAGTAAAACATGCACGGCGGGGAGGTCGACATGACAATCTGGTGAGTAGCCTCTGTGACCCCCCCCCCCCTTTGAAAAATCCTGGCTACGCCCCTGAATTTAAAAGGAAATGTGCAGCAGCTAGAAGGGAGGATTAACAGTCAGATCTTGGGTTTTAAAGGTTAATACAGACCTGTCCAGTAGAATGTTGAGTTGAACATCATCCAGGAAGTAGTGAAAGTCAAATAGAACTTTCTGCAGTTCATTCTTCGATATGTAACCATCTCTGTTCGTATCAACTGTCTCGAATGCTTTCCTCAAACTTTCGTAACCGTCACGAAAACGATCCCTAAAAAAAACAGACAGTGAGTTTAAATGAAAATTATATTAAGCAGTGGTATATCCATGGAGTATTCTTCGCCCATTGATACCAGGCTGAATTGATGGAGACGAAAAAAATTAAGGACATGGAGGAAAACCATCGGAGCAAGGATGGAAATAAAAAAACAGAAAAACAAAACAAAAAAAAAAAAACTAAACTCAAAGTTTGAGACTCTCAGGTATTGAAAACGGACCCAAGCCACGGTGTTTGGGAAGGGGGATTCTCGGGAACATAAATTTAGTAACAATTATTAATTGATAGAAACAAATTCACCTCAGTTGTTGTTCCACTTCAAGTGCGGATAAGAATGAGGCAGCCTGTGCTTGATTGAGTGTGGCAGCCATATGCAGGTCCTAACAAAACGACAAACATAAAAATCACCGGATGACATTATGGAGAGACAAAACTCGAGGTATCCAGAAAAAAATACCCATTGCCCCACCCTGAGAGGAAACAAGGCACGTAACATTCCTCTGACGAGACTACAAAGAAGTCGCGCATATAACAACAGCGTTCCTCAGGAAGTACACTCTACTGCTATTCTTCATTGCATACAAAAACGTCATCATCTTGTACAATGAGAATATCAAAACACTCTCGCGCACTTGAGTTTATTTACACTGCAATCTACAAGCAATGTTATGATGGTATTTGTAAGGAATAGCACGCCACGTACCTGTTGCTTCCTGTACATACTCTCCATAACCTGTTGGCTCTGTTTAGTTATCTGTGTACTTGGTCCATGCATATCACCAGGCGCCATCTCCCCCCCTAACTTGGCCAGAAACTCATGATGATCCACACAGCCATTCCCATCAGTGTCGTACCTGAGAAGGGTAGCACACGTTGTGAGATACCAGCACTAAATTGAGCACTGTTCTTCTGCCCAATAAAAGGATATTTAGAGAAGTTCTCGACTTACTTGTCCCACAATTTCTTGAATTCTTCTTTGTTGACTGGGATCTGGAAGTGATAGAGCACTTTCCTCAGCTCTTTCTTGGTAACTATTCCGTTTCCATCGCGGTCGAAAGCCAAGAAAGCTTTTGACAAGTCTTGGTTATGCTCCCACGCTTTTCTTCTTATGATGACATCCGCTTGCTCTGCGCTCAAGTAATTTAGATCCTGTGCTTCATTGAAGCTGAAGAAAAAGCCACATTGTGATCAACAAAAATAGATGTACTTCACTGTCGACGAAAACCACTTAGACGATTCAATAACAAAGGAGGACTTCAAAAGCTTTAAAAGACCCTTCAACAGTCTCCTAACTGATGTAGAATAATTTTGAAACCAGTAAGCGTCAAGTCCTTTTTCTTGTTTTCACTGATGATAAGATTGACGACTACTTTACGTTTTAATTTAGCACTTTTCTTTTACGTTAATTTCTTTCTGCTTAAGTTGACGTCCAGAAATAAATGCGTTTGATTGATTGACTAAGCTCTTTGCCTGAAAAGATGATAAGTGGGCAAGACCATGAAATGATGATTTGGATCAATATCAGTTTTTAAGCAACTGCACACCCACCCCGCCCTATTCCAACATTAACCTTGACTTGTCATCAGTTGACTGTAGCTGAGCTAGGGGAGGGGTACGTGCGAAGTTGCTCAGATACTGATTTAATCAAGTTTTCATCATCTAAGGTAGGCTTAAGACAGAATACAAGACTCCTTAGAAATAAGCCACCTATTATAACCCACCCATCCCACCCCAAGGGAGGACATCCATCACACAGTAATCTCGTGCGTGGGAAATTAACGTCTCCTACCCCTAACCCTGCAGAAGACGGGATGTCCATTTATTCGTCCCTATCCGAGAAGACTAGAATATCTAACCATTTCTTGATGTTCTAGAAAGGTAGCATATTCTTCTCAATTATTTTAAGACCTAGAGTGTTGGTCCGGCCGAGGCTCGAACCCTCGACCTCCCGCACAACAGTCCAGGGCTCTATCCATTGAGCTAACCGGGAGGCGGTTTTACTGGTACTGATCCGGTGATTTCATGGCGAAGTATGACTAATTTTCGTAATCTAAATATTCAAGAATCTCGCTTCTGTTACCTGTGGTTAGAATACAGCCAGGGATGTCCCCCTTCAACAGTCTCAACATGCTCGAACCGTTTCAAGAATTCTCTGTAATTCAGTTTAGCTCCTTTCTGTATTCCAAGATTTGACATGAGCTTGTCAAACTCCTCGTCTGATAGCAGGAACATGAAAGAGTCCAGAATGCGCCTGAATTCCGGTCTGGTAATCAGCCCATTGCGGTCATAATCTATCTTCTGAAACGCTGCGCGCAGGTCCTGTCGGAGAAAGGGAAAATATGTGATATAATTTTATGTAGAGGCTATAAGGTGGAAGTTGTTTCAGCCTATCCTAAGTCACAAAGAGTCGTTTCGGCCTCTAGCATGTCACAAAAGCCGCTGGTATTAAGGGGAAAATGTTGTGTGCAGACGTTGACTAGGAATCTTTGGTCCCTGGATTACCAATCTTTTGTTGATTTTTGCACCAGTTGTCCCACAGACTATGTGGAAGATTGTGCTTCACAATACCAACAAGTTCCTTGGAAAAGTGTGGCCTTAAGAAGGAATCTTTCGATCATTCTTCCATGCCTAGTCTCTTCTTTGAAAGCAATGCATAGATCAATAAATTACAAACCTTTTACTGATTCGTTCTTACTTTGTACACGGAACACCTTAGCAAGTGATGCGAAATTGTAAAGCAATTGTAGAGCGGGTGATACTGTCCTTACTTCACGGCCTATGATTCCAAACTTACGATTTGCGTCATGACTTCATATCGCAAACATGAATTGCACACAATAAAAATAATTTCAGCCGAATGTTTCCTCGTTGTATTAGCCCGACTACATGTCAGTGCCAGTGCGTATCAATCTTTTTTTAAACAAGTTGACTCTCGCCTAACGTGTGTATTCACACAATGAGAAACTTAGCCTAAGTTTTACTAGATCACCTCTTTGACTACTTTTTTCTCTCTTTGTTTTTTCAAAATGAATAACCCATGCGGCAATTTAACCGTGTATATCACGATTTCTAACCTGGAAGCTCTCCCGCAATTTGCTTCTCAGTTTCGCTTCCACCACACTTGCTTTCATCGACTGCTCTTGAGGCATCGGGAGGTTGTATCTGACAAAAACAAAAGTCCGATAAATTTATTGACGTGCGTACTTAAAAAAAAGAAGAAACAGGTTGACCATTCTGAAAACCTTCAGTACCTGTGAATTGGGTATTCAGGTGCTTTTTCTCCAACACCAAAGGACCGTCGATCTTGAAAATGGTCCAGAAACTCCATATACGTAATCTTTCCTTTGTGAAATCCCAGTCTGAAAAGCAATTATTAACTGTCCATATAGAGCACTTTTCCATTGAGTGTTTTAAAACCAAAGTAATTATAACAGCCAATCAGCAGAAAAGAAATATCTTAAACAGCCAATACTAACTCCAAGTAAGAACAAGCAAATTGCTCAATGCGCGGGAAAACGCGCGTCATCAAATCGAGATTACTTTTAGTTTTGCATCTGATTGGTTGAGAAAGTGGCGCTAGTTTTCTGGACCAATCACAGAGCGAAGAAAGCAAGATTTGCTCTAATTCATGTACAGCTGGTATTAATCATACAGGTAAGTGTAATTTCAAGTTGACAAGGTTTTCCAGGACATTTTCCCAATTTCCAACGGGTAAGTAAAGAACGCTTTTCAAGCGAAGGTAAAAACATTACAAAACCCAAGGAATTAGAAGGACCGATCAAAAGAGCAGTATTTGGGATAGAGCCGCCAAAAACAGAGGTAAACTTAAGCAAACATAGCCTCTAAAAAAGGGGGAAAGCGAATAACTCAGTCACGATTAGTTTTTACATCTGTTTGGTTGAGAGGATGGCACGAGTGATAAACACCAGTAACTGAGCGAAAAGAAAAAAAAAAGAAAATTTCAAAATTCCTTTTGGAAGTGCTCCCCTCCTGCAAACTGCTCTCGTCTCATTTATGTTTGCATTCTTACCTGGCACTAAGAATGCGAAACTGATCATCTGTCATGTATAAACCCAGACTGTCTAAAATCTGCGAGAAAACAAACAGAACACGTGTAACTCAGATACCAGTACGCATGGTACAGCCTTGTTGAAAACTGAACCTCGTGGAAATACAGACAACCCAGATTGGACTTCATGGAGAGCTAAGCTAAAGATATCTCAAATGTTGGCTGTCGTGTACGTACCAATCGAAATTCTTTTCTCGAGATCTTTCCATCTCTATCGCCGTCAAATTTGACAAAAGTTTTTCGGAAGTCGGGTGACCTTTGGGAGATGTACTCCTAAGAAGACAATTAATACACGTAGGTTGAGTCAACAGTTTGACAAAGTAGATTAGTAGGTGGAGTCAGGTTCGTTCAAGCTCAAATAGAAATAACTGTCTAAAGGTCTAATTTAGATCAAGATTTTCCAGGTAGTAGAAACTGTGGCAGCATCAAGGGCTTTTACTTCTAAGTCAAGTAAAAGCAAAGTGATCATAGCTGCCGCTCAAAACTAAGCTGGCTATATCCAGGAACCAATGAAAATTCCCAGTCAACATATGATATCGTCCTAAAGCGCAGAAAAAAATTGAGTGACTAAGTCGCTATTGGTTTTACATTAATTTTTGCATCTGAGTAATTGAGAAGAGGGCGCTAATTTCACACCAAAAACAAAGACGTAAAACCGAAGCAATACTGGTAAATTGCAACAATTTCGCCATTTAGTGACAGTTGGCAATAGTACTATAGAAATTTTGGTTGTACCTTAAGGATTTCCATACATTCATTAGCGGTTTTCTGGCCTGTGAGGTTCAGGGCTCTCTCTTCCACAAGTTCCAGTCTGTAAATATAATAATCAATTGTGTAAAAACATACCAGAACGGAACATCACGGTAATCATGTTTCGAACGTTACCAACATCATAAAAAGCTGATTTTACTTCATAAGACGGGCATAAAGTGCTTTTCGAACGAGTGTCGTGAAACCAAAACCAAAGTTATCACAGGGGCCAATCAGAAGAAAGGAAGGAAACTTTAAGAGCCAATGAGAACTCAAAATAAAAACAACCAAACTACCTAAAGCGCGGGAAAACGCGGCGGGCGACCAAGTCGTGATAATTGTGTTTTTGCGTCTGATTGGTTGAGGGAGTGACGCGAATTTTTTCGGACCAATCACAGATCGATGTCAAAAATGTCTCTAATTTATCAGCATGAATCCACTCCTAAAGGGCGAACTATATTATTATCTGGAGATGTTCCTTACCTTGTGGACTGGTCTTGTTTCATAAACTGAGCCTTCGCTTCACTTTCATCAAGAATTCTGGTGCTTAAACCGTCGATGTCCCCGCCAATAATATCTACACCCTGAGGCAAAACATCCGAGTGGGTTATGATGTAAGCGATATGGCCCTCGGAGCGGTTGAAAGTGTCAGAAAATATAATTTAGCTGTAGTGCACCAGTACTTACAAGTTTGGCAAGAAATTCTTGAAAATCAACAGTTCCATTCGAATTTTCATCTACCCGGCTCCACATCCTACAACAATTAAAGGAAGTCAGTAAGAGTGCATTAGGTTACATGTTGATTACATAATTCCAGACTACATTTTATAAAATAATGTGTCCATTTGGCAAAATTATTCGATGACGACACCTTGTCACGCTTACTGACCTTACTCCAATCTACCGATAGCAAAAAAAGCGATTAACGCAAAACGTATCGTGTGCCACTTCTTTGGTTTAGTTTAGTTCAAGTTTAAGTTTAATAATACTTTGCCATGCTACTACAAGGAGATAAAATTACAGAAAATACAAAAAGTCCATGACTGGAGAATAATATTGAGGGAAACTAAATTCCTATACAAAGAATATTCTCCAATATTGAACATACCAAAAATTAAAAAGTTAAATTTAAATGCCGTCTTAAACTAACCTAATTAGTTGCATACTAAAATTGACACTAAAAATTAAGAATTTCAATTTAAATAAGGCCCAAAGGTAACCTAATTAAATTGCATACTTGTCACTCACGAGTTAACGTCTTTGCTGTTATTTCTTTCTAGTTTGGTTCTGTTTTTGTTTTTGATTTTTTGACGCATGGTAAAAAGTCTTTCTTAAGCGTGATTTTTGCTAGTTATAAAAAGTTGTTGGATACCGATAAATAGTGCAAAAGGGTTTCGTTTCGAAAATGCCGCCGCCCTTTCTGGGCATGCGTAACGAACCAAACTGCGATCACAGAAAAAGTCGCACGCGTCCTCATCTGCCAGAAAACATCTTAATGTCTAAACACAAATAATCTGCACTTAAACCATTGCTATTTACTGTTGCGATTATCTGGACTTCGCAAAAAATGGTGCCTTACAGTTCGAAGTGATCATCAGAGACAGGAAGGCAGTATTTTTCCAGAAGTAGCCTCAACTCGTCGCGTGATATGGAACCATCTCTGTCTTCGTCGACACCAAGGTATGCTGAGGCAATTGCTTTCCAGTTATCTGTAATCTTTGTGCGCAAGATGTCTTCCACCTGACAAAACCATTTAGGTTTGGATTCAAAATTTCTCACTTGGTTAGATTACATGTAAAAAAAAACTGTAACTAATGAATATGAACTCCTTGGAAATTGTTTCGTCCAATTGAGCTATGGACTGCCCTTAGAACCAGTTTCCCAATGCAATATAAAAATCCTAGTGGAATATTTGGGGAACAAGTAAAATTTGTCAAGCGTACTCCCTTGCGTTGGTAAAGTACCGTCACATATCAGTCTGCTCTAGGTTCATCAGTGCAATAGAGGGTAGATTTGTGAGAAATCACCAAATCAGAGTGGTGCATGGTGTCTCAGTTCATTTGGAGACAGGAAAACAGCCATAGTATCAGATATTATACTAAAAGCCAACTTACAGTGGACCAAGCCATGACAGCAGGAGGGGACACACTTTTCGGTGAATGATCTTGATGATCTGACATCAGCCATGGGTGTGCACACTGAAAAGAACAAGATGCAAACAGATTGAAATGCACTCTCTGTAAAAGATCTACACTTGAGCCATGTGAAAGGTCCATCTGGTGCTCATCCTGGTTTCTTTAACATGAAATTATCAGGAGTGTAATGTTACTCCCTTGGATGGGTTATCTGACCATTGCAAGATAACCCCCCTACCTCATCTCCCTACCCCTACATTTTATCAGGTTCCCTGCCAGTTTTCCAGGACACATTATTTACGCTCAAAGATGGAGAAATGCAAAGTGCCTTTCATTAACCAACCCAGTTTTGAAATGAGACTTCTTGACTTGGAGCTAAATTCTTTGGGACAACAGGCCTCTTGATTTTTTTCAAGCTTCCCTCACTATTGTAAAGTGGCCATTTGGTAGATTTTGATAACAAATTGGATTTAAAATAACTCAAATAATTCAGACAGTCTCTACTGAGAAACTATTTTTCCAAAACCACCAGAATTCACACAGTTGATGTATGTATCTACATGTTAAGTTTTTACATTTCATTTGAAGATACACCAGCTGCAGTCAACTATTCAGATTTGAATT